TATAGAGGAAAAAAAAAAGAAGATTCCTTCTTTTTAATGCTGAAGAAGATTATGGGGTGAAAACCCTCAATCTCAGTGATATGAATGGCCTATTAAGACAGTATGGTATGTCCATATTAGAACAGTGATTAGGGATGAATGAGTTTTCAATTGGCACAACTTCACCATTTTGGAAAAATGCATTGGAGTCCATTGGAAGGGTGATTTTCAGAGGTTTGTAAGGAGCTTTAAATGAGGGTTATGGAAGCTCCTTGGACCTACAGAAGCTCCTTGAGCTATCCTGGACCTGTTCTTGTGCCAAAACATGGCGGTACTCAAATAACAATCAAATACACCCAAAAAAGAGAAACAAAAAGACTACAAAGACACTAAATAAACTGAACTACCCTGGTGAATACACCTTCAAAAACGCACAATCTCTAAATACAAAAAAAAACTATTTTTGCCTAGATTGCTCAATCAGCAAAATTGAAAATTTTGGCTTAAAGTGACACTAAATTCAGGAATTAAATGTTAAAAATGCATTCAAGTACCATAACTATTAACAAAAATATATCTTATTTGTGTAGATCCTCAAATCATCTCCGAATTGGTGCTGACTCTGTCCTTCCTTCTGGAGGGTGGCTACTTTGTTCCCCATGGTCTCTGTTTGTGATGCAAAGTAGTCACCACTCCAAGCTCACTCCTGTGATGAACTATAACTTTAATACAAATTATTAAACTAGACATGTGATTGTAGTCCATCACGGGGGCAAGCTTGGAGCGGTGACTTCTTTACAACACACACAGGGACCATGGGGAACAAAAGTAGCCCCCCTCCAGAAGGAAGGACAGTGTCAGCACCAATTCAGAGATGATTTGAGGATCTAGAGCTGAGTGATACACACATAAGATACATTCTTGGTAATAGTGAAGGTACTTGAATGCATTTTTAAGATTTAACTCCTGAGTTTAGTGTCACTTTAAGTGGTTAAATGAATCAGTCTGCTCATCCCTGACTGTGATTCCAAACAGTGGACATTTTGTGGGTATCTTGTGACGGCTTCCGGGTATCTTGACCATTTACAATGTCCCAAGACAAACAGTTTCTCCTCAACTACTACTTCATAGAAAGAAATGGCTGGATCCATTGCCACTTCTGACCTGCACAAATTGGTTAAATCTTCTGAATTTTAGATTTGATGTGTTTGGATAGGAATACTTACCAGCAAGTTCCTCCTGTAGCGGAATCCTGCATAAGCTCTTTTGAGTGGTGATAGATACAATATTATAGCCTAAATATTATTATTATTATTATATAGGATTTATATAGCGCCAACAGTTTGTGCAGCGCTTTACAATATAAGGAAGACATTACAATTACAATACAATTCAAGACAAGATGGTAAGGAGGGTCCTGCCCGTGAGGGCTTACAATCTAAAAGGGAGGGGCCAGTGATACATGAGTAGGTAGCTGTGTGGGGATGAATTGTTTGAGAACGTGATGGTTGAGCGGTTAGGTTGAGGTGGGATAGGCTTCCCTGAAGAGATGAGTCTTTAGAGATCGCCTAAAGGCTGTCAAGGTGGGAGATAGACAGACAGGTTGGGGTAAAGAGTTCCATAGAATGGGAGAGACTCTAGAGACGTCCTGGACGCGAGGATGGGAGGAGATGACAAGGGATATCTATATAACTTTGTTTGTGCTACCTATAGCTTGGGTTTATTTGAACTCATTCATAGTATTTTCCAGTCTAGATCTGATACATTTCCTCAAGTTGAAACCTCTGCCTTTGCTCAACAACACGTAAAGAACGGGATTAAGACAGCTGCTGATGGCAACCAGACAAAGGCACAAAGAACTAATTATGAAATTAGCAAGCACTTGATATATAGTTTCATTTTTTGCTACCAATGGCCACATATTGTATGGAAACCAGCAGCAGAAAAAGCAAACCACGACAGCTGTGATAATCCGGAAAGTCCTTTGAAATTTCCTGGGCCTTTTTACCGGGCTAGAACGAAGTTTGAAGATAATCAGACTGTAACAGACAAGGATTATGACAAAGTATAGCCCGAACATGATAAAACTTCGAGAGAACATTAAATATTTTTCAATTGATGAATATTTGAACTGACAAAAATATGAAAGATCGTCGTATAAAGGAACATGTACATAGAAAATATGTATGTCTGGATCTAAAGTAATCATGAACGTTATTGTTATAGATAGCGGTACAGTCCATATAAACACTGAACCAATGTTGGCTAATCTCCGTGTACGATGTACTTTGGCCCAGAGCGGCCATATGATGGTCACACAACGGTC